GATACCCGCCAATCCCGTTTTACGGCTTGATTAGCCTCGGAATTAAGTTATCGTCAATCGTCGATACACTTCTTCCTCGCATCTTTTCAGCTATATATATATTTTTTAACTTTTCCTTCGTTAAGGAAGAATTAAAAAAAGAGCATTTTAAAATCATTATATATATATATTTGATAAATTTTCTTCTTCTTTTCGTTATTCTATTTTAAATTTTATTGTTAAATTTGTTGATACGAAATAGTATGTGCATTATTCATAAATATTTTATCATTGTTATAGTTACATAGTTAATTGATAATAATACGCGCGAAATTAATTAGATGATTAGAAGATATGAAATCAAAGAATTTGTTTTGGTTATGTAATAAACTGAATTCCGATCTATACGTAAATAAAGATAGTAAGATACCTCTTCCAATACGTAAATACGTATCGCGTGATCCGAGTTTTTGTATATCTTCTAATTTTACAGGCAAAATAAGAATATAATGAAAAATATAATTCTTCCTACAAATCCTATAATATAATCTCGATAATCTTAATAATGAGAACGATTTTTAAAGTACTTTCAAAATTATTATAGTATTTATTAGTTTAAAACTATTTATTGTTTATTAATATATTTTTCTAGAATATTGCGAGCTAAAAATAACATATTCAATAAAAATCCATGTTATCGTTTAATGTTTATTAAACTACGAAATACTTAAAGATAACAGAAGATATCGAAGAATTTATGAGTAAATGCTGAAATTGATTGAATAAACGTTACATAATTATAATCTAAAAATGATAATCTAAAGATTTTATTTTAAATCCATGTTATTTTTACTTCAAGAAAAAAATTACTTATCGGAAACGTGCTTTCTATTTCAATGCTTATAAATCGTAAACAACGCAAAATATAAAAGAAATAATTTGAATAAAAATTTTATTATTTTGAAAAATCTATAAATCTGTATAAAAAACTTTAACAAAAAAAAAAAATTTTTTTTATAAAAAATATATTATTATATTTTTAAAAAATAATTTATAAATATTTTAAAAAATATATTATTATATTATATTTTTTTATAAAAAAAAATTTTCAATAAGAAAGTAGAATAATTTTTTCATGCAAAATGCAAATAAATCATTTTAAATAATAAATAAAACGTATAATTAATTTATTTTTTTTTATTAAAAATTTAAATAAAAATGATATCTTTCTAATGAAAAAATAGCACAAATAGATCGTAAAATTTTTAAATTGGTTCAACAATTACATAAAATATAATCAATACGTATTGGTTACCGGTGTTCCTTTATCGAGTATTGACCGGAAGTGCGGTGACCTCGGAACTGAGAATGGAGGTCGAGGAAATCATAGGGAAGTGCGAAGTCAAGTTGAACGGGAAGATAAATCGTCGTAACAACATTGTAATCGAGAAATGACGTCAATGGAAAAACTGAAGGAATGGATTGATTTACAACCACCTTGTGACACTTAGATAAATTTCTGCCGATATCGACCAGTTGTAATCGGAAACCAGTCTAGGACGATTCTGATGCGAAATTAATTCTGTACAGGATGTCAAGACAATAATACGCGGTACAAGAGAGTAATAGTGATTTTATATGAAAAAACAATCGAAAAAAAAAAAAATTAATGAAATAATGAAATATTTTTACTAGAGAAGATTTTATTTTCGAAAGTAAATTAAATTTGAAAATTTTTTAAACGAATTTAATTAATTTCTGATTACATATAAATTATCAGTAGGAAATTAATTTACACGTGAAGAATAAAAAAAGCATAGAATAAAATTTGTTGATTTAAAAACTAATTTTCGAGAAAATCAAACTCGAAAATTCAATTTCTTCATTATATATATGTATAATGAAGATATATACAAAAATATAAATATAAAAATATAAAATTTTGTTGAAAATCAATTTTGAAAAAATACATATATATTTATGACAGAAATTTTTTTTTATATACCTTCGCATGTACAATAATCATTTACAGATAATTTATTCATAAAATATTATAATTTTGTCATAAAGTGCAAATAAATCATTTAAAATAATAGATAAAACGTATAATTAACTTACTTTTTTTTTTTATTAAAAATGTAAATAAAAATGTAATATCTTAAAATTATAAGATTATGGAAGTTTATACTTGAAAATTTTTCACTTGAATAACTTATTCAAAAACAAAAAAAACTTTAAATGGGAAAATTTTATTCGTTCCTTTTTTTATTCACTTTTGCACCTAGAATCACTCATCCTGAGATATGTATAACTTCGCTTCCATCTACCATCACGTATCGATCTCGTTTAGTGTTCGGTTACAGTGCGCGACACGGTCGATCGATCTCGAAAAAATACGCACCTCTACAAGCAATTAATTCGCCGATATCGATGTTATACTACACGATAACCACTCGATAATCAAAGTTAATTTGAACTGTGTAAGATGTTCGCGAATGGCTTCCGCGAGACATGGAATTCCTTTCGACAGGTTGATCGACTTCAAGAGGTCGGCCTATGCCTTCAAAAGCATATTAATCATTTTCTCTGGATAGAAAATTCAAGATTTTAGACTTAAGCGAAATTACAATTTTTTGATGCGGCGCCGAGTTCAATGCTCTCTGATTCAAGGTCAAATTTTAACTAAGG